TCTGTAGTTATTTCTTGACATATCTGACATGCCCACTCCACAATGAATTCCTCAAGGTCAAGGGAACTGTAACCTGGAGCATCTGAAGTGCTTGGTATATATCTATTATATAAAGGGTGAATTAATCTTAACATAAAATTTAATACTATTTATGCTACTTACACTTAGAGCCTCAGGTAGAAAATTTGCATTACAGAGTGTCTGGCTTCCTGACTATTGATATTATCAATTCTGAAAATTGGCAAATCATATTGTGTTGTTAAAAAAAATAGTAGAATCAATATTCATGTTTTCAGTTCCTGTCACATTATTCCAATCTGTGTCAATATTAAATGTTGAATTTCAATAGAATAAAAAATCTTATCAAATATCAATAGTTTTTCACATATACGTGTTGTGAACATATTCAGAATTAAAGATGAATTCCAAAAAGGAAGTTGCAGTTTTCAGAAATAGAGTATTTCTTAGAACTTAACTTTGTAATGACACTGACCTCTGTGACATATACAACTACTATTGTTAGGTGCAAAACAACCAAATTAAGTCAAATTCCCAGGGAAAGGAAAAGTGGAAGCTATTATATGGGTTCACTCCATTCACGCAGTTATGAAGGGACAATGGTATTAAACAATAAAATTATATATACTTTATAATGAGAAAAAAAGCATTTATTGTAAACAGAGTGCTGTGTGTGTCTCCATAATAAATATATTACAAACCATTTACCGTGTGATAAATTTATACCCGAGGTAAATGAAAATAACTGAGTTTAGTGTTTTATTGTTTTTTTGTTATTTATTGTTGTTAACAATATATTTATTGTTATAAACTTTATTAAATGGGTAGTATGTGCTAGCATGGGAGAAGTAGTAATTATGGGCACAAAGCTATATTTATTCATAAACAGGTAGTGATATGGACATTCACAAAACTCACAGTTCAGTGAAGAATAGCATACACACACACACATATGTATTATTTTATAACTGTGCTCTGCCATCAGTACTAACACTCCTAGATACCCAGAAGCAAGATGAAATGTATTAAAAGTCCTCGGTACTGCTGAATGCCATGGTGGGTAAGCAGTCATTGAAGGGCTGCAAATGACTGTCAGCAATTTTATATCTTCAGCTTCACGTTCACTTTCAGGCCATTCACATTTATCATTTTCCTTTGTCAAGAAGTAAATCAAAGAGGATGTTCTCATTCGTAATTGGGGAATCACCTGCCTCTGTGTTTATAGTGGGATGGGGGAAGCAATAAGAAAGGGACAAAGGCTTATATGTTTTTTTCTTTTGAAATAATTTGAAACTTACCAAAAATTTGCAAGCAAAATGGAAAGAATTCCTAAATCATTTTAAGATATATGGTCAATATTAAGCCCCATTATCCTAGACTAAGTAGTACATATTCCCTGTAAATAAAAGCATTCTTTCATATAATCACAAGCAAGCATCAAAATCAGGAAATTAGCATGGAAAGGCTATGACTGCCTCCACAGACCTCATTCAAGTTTTATGAATTGCCCCATTATAAAAGCAGAAGTATTTAACCCAGATCCACGTTTTGCATTTAGTTGTCATTTCTCTTAGACCCCTTTAATCTGGAACAGTCCCTCAGTCTTTCCTTGATTTTCATTAAATTAACATTTTTGAAGCTTAAAGGTCAAATATTTTGTAGAATGTTGTTCAACTTTTATTTATCTCATGGTGTGCATTTTGGACATGAAAACCACAGAAGTGATACTATACTCTCATTGCATTGTCTCAGGTGGCGAGCATTAATACTTTTAATTTGCCCTACTATTATCAAGTCAAGTGGCATTACCAAGTCACCACTTGACTTAAGTAGTGGCTTACCAGGTTTCCAAAATATTATATTGCTATTTTTCCATACATAATTCATCAGACTTTTATAAGAAGGTAAATATCCAGTTGACGTTTTTTTCATTGCTGTTTCTTCTGAATGTGATGATTTTTTATCTTCATCATTCTTCCATACTAATATTTTAAATTCCTCTCCAAATAAAATGTTTCTATTCTCTCCACTTATATATCTGTATAGGCCCAAGGTTTTCAATTTTATTTAATAGGTTATTATTTGTGACAGTCTTTATTTTCATGCTTAAATTGTTTAAGATTTGGCCAGTGCGAGTCCTTTAAATTTTTTTTGGTGCCCCCCATCTTCTTTGATCATCTCCTCACTTTCTGACAAATAAAGGCTTGCAAACTTATCTTGTATTTTCCCTGTTTCATTCCTGGAATTTAAGTTCTTTCAATCAAAAATGCTATTTTGAAACCAAGATCTGGGCTCTAGGTAGGAGTGCTCAAAGCTATTAAGTATAATTCTCTATATGTCCTTTCAGTGGATAAGCTAGAGTATGCATGTGTATGTACACACATGTACCACCCATATACACAAATATCTCTATGTATTTATCTATATACACATATATTGAAATGCACAAATTCACACCAATACCTCTAATTCCAATCCAATGTCACAAGTTTAATTTTCATTTTCCCTGTTTATTAGTAGCCTTAATTTATTTACCTATTTGATCATTCCTTCATGATATAACAAATTTCCTATCACAACTGCCACCTCTCAGGACCGAATTTCTCCTTGCTCCTTTCAAGCTCTGAAACCTTATGCCAGGCCACTGTTGTCTCCTCAGATGCTGAACTCATACACACATCAGACAAATATAGCACTTTGGCACCTACTGTCCTTTAACCCATTTAATGGATTTAGGGACTGAATTGTTCAGGGAGAATAAAGGGAAGGAGAGAAGGCAAGAAGGCTGGTTATTGTAAATGTGTAATATGATCCTGTGCCACATACAACAGAATAAAGACATATTTAACCAAAGGCATTTCAGTTATTCTTTGTTCTCATTAACAAATGAAGACAGACAGAAACAGAAAGCTTTGGCTATCCTTTAGCTCAGCCTTTACTTATAGGGTGGTAACTTGTGTGGGGTGTGGATGGAGGGAGGGAACCAGCATAGTATGTTCAGTGGCCTATTTACCATGGTTTCTTTGGTCATCTGAGGGCTTACATCAAGTGTATGTAAAGAAATAACTTTGCTCTAATTTGTGAATTAACTTTGAGTTAATGGGTCAGAACTTCACTGACCTTTGTTTGTTTCTTAACTCATTTTACTCTTTTTTCTTCCCTTCCACTGAAAAAATGTAGTGTGATGGATTGAGAATATCAGATTTGTGGAATGGACATATCAGATTTGTGATATGGATATTGCTAACTATAAATAGTAACAGTTAAGGCAATTATATTTGATATGACAAAATTGTTAAAATATTGGCTATTATTTTCTTGCCTGAAACAATGAATATTTGTGAATTTCAGATTGATTACATTTCACATTTATATTTACAAAGGAATATATGTACATAAAGTACAAAGAGAATTTGTCATCTATAATTCTGCTGCCCTGAAGTCTTTAAATCATTTTGATTAATATCTTATATATGTGGATAATATGTCCACATATATACACACACAAAGCTAAGATTTTTAATGGATTTTTGATCTTCTGTATGTATTGTTCAACAAATTGTCTTTTTAACTTAACATATTATGTCACGATTAATTTACAAAAGAATTTTTGTTGGCATAAAATTCTATTTTATATATCTGCCTTTTTTAATTTAATTTAATGTCTCTTTAGGTGCATTTATATACTTTGTTTATTTTTTATGAAAGTGTTGCCATAAATATCCTAGTAAAATTTTTCAGTACTTCATTTTTATCCTATTAAACAACCCATTAAACCTATTTTTTCCTATTTTATCCTATTAACAACCTATTAAAATTTAAGTCAAGATAGAAATTTTAAATCCAAATTTCTCTCCTGAAAATTTGAAATATTAGTAACCTATAACTCTCCTTCCCTGGGAGTATCTGTGCCTCCTTTCCTTTCCTAATACAGAATCTTGAAACATTTTAATTATCTTTACCAAATTAATAAACAAAAATGGCACACCATTTTGACGTGTGTTTTTTTATTATAAGAGCCACTAAGCACTCTTTCAAATATTTAATAACTATTTATTTTTCTTCCTGTGGGAATCACTTATGTGTATTAATTCACCATGCACTGTTAGAGGCTTAATCAGCCAAAGACCACCAAGCAGAAATCTGAAGTCGACAGAATCAGAGTCACTGATTAAATATAGCAAGAGAGGGCACAGCAACTGCAGAATGCCTCATGACGAGAGAGCAAGGAAGCATCGTTGGTAAGATTTTGGTTCTTGTTGAATGATTCTATTGAGTGCTTAAGGGAAGTTGGATATAAATTCTGGGTTAGTTGTCACTTCCAGGCAGGACTTGGAAAACCCAGGATGAATTCGGGATTGGGTGCTGTGATGAGGTGAAAGCATTTTAGCAACCAGGTGTCCTCAGTAAAAGATAAGAAAGGCAAAGAACTTCTGGGGGCACCATTGGTAAGCAAACAGAAATCATGTAAAGAGGAGTTTGTTATGGTAATTTACAGTAGGGGCTTGGGCAAATAATGTTTCTCACTGATTTAGCAGCTAGCTTTGTCTGTTCCAATCTTCCACTCAGCCTGATTAATGGCAGAGCTTTACCAAAAAACTCTTTTCCTTTTCCAATTTTAGCTGATATTTATTCTGGCAGTCCCTAACAGGCCTCTATACTTGCAGAATAGAGTTAAGCAAAGTTTAGGCCGCATATGTTATTTAACGGCACAGAATTTTTGATTACCCATTCTTAAATTGGGAGTTTGGCATGTCTTTTTTATTGATTATATAACTCTGAGCAAGGTATTTAATCACTTTATTCTCAGTTTTCATATCTGTAAAAAGGTACTAGTACAATAATAATTATCATATTTGTCTTATAGGACAATTGAAAAAATTAAATGTGATCATTTATATAAAGCATTTATCAAAATGTCTCAGATGATGTAGCTGCTCAAAATAGAAAAGCAACTAAAAGTATGCTTTTTTTTTTTTTTTTTAGTAATGTTTCTTTTTATTGAATGGTTTACTCAAAGTAGTTGTTGTTCGAAATAAAAAAATACCCTGTAGAATGTGAGAACAGGATCCAGACTTTAAGTCACAAAGTTGTACTTTGGGTCCTCTAGTACCAACTGCTACCAAACAGTGCTTGGTGGTGACTGGAGACATATGATGACTATAAACTGTTTCCTCAAAATTAAATACATCTGCGGTTTGTAATGTATTTGTATCCCATACTTTTAGAGTTTTATCAAATGAGCTTGATGTGAACATGCCAGTGTCATGAGGATACCACTGTACAGTCTCCACACTGTATTTGTGAACATTAGGATGGTCTCTGCAGATGGAACACACTGCCTTACATGTGTAATAAGGTTGTCTGCTAGAGTTCTCAAGGTCATAAAGTACAATCACACCATCTGAACCACCTGATAACATATATCTTCCTTCAACAGGTTCAATGTCAAGGGTGTTAATTCCACTGCTATGGATTCTTTCAACATCTCTGTCTTTGTTTAACTCCAGTCCCAAAACTATGTGCAACTCTGTCTTTCACTCTTCCAGTGAATATCTTTATAGGTTCCTCACAGTCAACACGGGCAAAATTAAAAGTAAAACTTACTTCCCCTTTAGAAAACCCTATCTCAGAGGATATCACCAACATTCAACTTCCTAATCAAGGTACTTATCAGGGAATCATTATTCATTTCTCCCTTTTCATCATTCACTTATCCAACCAATTTCCATGGCTGGTTGATTATATTTCTTAGAAATTTTCAAAACTTCTTCAATTCTCTTCATTATATCTGCCAACTCCATCAAACCTGGCCCAGGCTTCCATCAACTCTCCTTAATAATTGCGACTTCAACCTAACTTGGCTCTCTTGCTCTTAATTTCAATCCATTCTCCGTGTGGACTCCGCTCTCCGGAGGCAAAGAGGGTCCTCCAAACCCGCTTGCCGCGCGGACAAGCAAAAGTATGCTTTTAATAAGATTTTTACATGAGCTAATTGGTATAAACAATGAAAAGTGCATGATTATACATATGTGTCCATGTACATATGTGTCCATATGTGTCCGTACCACCTATTAAAGATACAAGGACATTCCTACTTCCAGAATGTACTCTGGAATAAGATAGAATAAACTACTATTTCCACAGTCCTGGATGGAACTTAATGAATTTGAAAGGCACATATAAAATAGAAAGGGCTTGTTTCACAGAACAGACTAATGAGATGAAAGACAGAGACATACAAGACATGAAGAAAGTATGGAAAAGGCAGATGTTCAAATGCTAATCATTAGGTTAGGAAAAAGAGAAGTCTCAGAAGAGGACTATCAATCTATCATGAAACAAGAAGCCCAGTACATGTGGACTCAATGCGAAAGCAATGAAAGCCAATGGATTTGAATTAAATGTAGTAAAATAGTTGATATAAATCACATATGCACTTTGGCTGTTCTTCAAATGCTGATCGAGCAGTCTGCTGTTTAGGCTGTGGTGTACAGGGCTCTAAGATGGTGAAGAAATTGTGCACTCTGTGATAGAAACAATGTTACTAGCACAGAGTAATCCAATAAAGACCACTGAGGGGGTTCTAGAAAATATCTTTTGTAGCAGTAAATACAAAGCAGCTATTCTGGCTACCATTAAAACACATGACCTAATGAGTGCAGTGCACACTCATTAGGGGGATAGGCATGTTTGTAGCTCTGTAAAGGCAATATATGCAACCCAAATATTTTTACCCCATAATATTCTGAAATTTAAAAAATGATATTAAAAAAATTTTTTTAAATATATAGTTAACATTAAAAAAAAAATGACTGCCCCAGAGTGATGGCTCACACATGTAATCCTAGCACTCTGGAGGACCAAGGCAGGAAGATTGCCTAAGCTCAGGAATTCGAGACCAGTCTGAGTAAGAGGGAGACCTTGTGTCTACTAAAACAAGAAAAATTAGACAGGCGTTGTGGTGCACACCTGTAGTCCCAGCTACTCAGGAGGCTGAGGCAGGAGAATTGCTTGAGTCCAGGAGTTTGAGGTTGCAGCGAGCTACGATGATGCCACTGCATTCTATGCAGGACAAGAGAGCAAGACTCGGTCTCAAAAAACTAACAAACAAGCAAACAACAAAAAAAAACCCACATCATCATGGGGGAGACAGAGGCCTCAATGTCTTAAACACTGCAAATCACTGAGGAAAACAAGTCTATGGAAGCACTACCATTGCTGCCATCACACACCCAGATGGATGCCTAATTTTGCTGCCAACTGAGCTGAGCTTAGAAAATATTAGAGAAGTTGTGAATGAAGGAGGGGGATAAGTAAATTTAGACATATTTGCTGCTGTCTTCAATAATTGGGCAAGTCGCAGAAAAAATGCTTAAATAAAAATTATGTCATCAATGTGTGATATAAGCTCAACTTCACCCTGGACCAGCTTGTTCAAAAAGTATTATTTAAAAAATGGAATGAATAGGTCAACTTTTCTCAACAGAGAAAAGTTGCCTTTTCTCAACAGGCATTGGTAGAACCAATTTTAGCTAAATCCAGACCACTGAATACCTGCTCTAGTAATGCCTGGCTCTAAGGGAAGAGCTGTGTTTTTGTTTTTAACACCAAGTTTACCCGTTTTGTCTTATTTGAATTTTCTTTTTGGTAAGGCCAAGAATACATTGAAAACAACAAAAACTAATCCATGTTAAGTATGTCAATAGGGAAGACAATGGAGCTCCAGAATCAGTCTCCTTGTAAAAATTCTGGAACTACCCTTTCGTCGTGACTAACAGTATCATTCTATTTTAAGCATTCTTCTTTTGTTCCATCTGACCTTTTAGATACTAATACAAGCATTAATTGCCTTCAGCAGTCATGGAACAACTGTTCAAACATTAGCTACAAATTTCTGAAAGTATTCACCATGCTATTTTCAACTTATTAACAGACCAGAGCTAGGAAAATACTCTTTGGAGACACATACATACATATATATAATACATGTATTTTCTACTTTTTTCTCCAAGGAAATTATATTATATTGTATTATGTTATATCATATTAGTATATATATATGTTATATCATATTATATATATATTAGTATATATAAGTATATATATCATATATAATATGATATAACATAATATATAAATATATACACACACACACAAAAGTTTAGAATAAATTTGAAAGAAATAAGATTCATTAACTTTCATTGGCCTAATGAACTTTCAAGCAAATTAAAATTATACTAGAAAATGTTCTAATCTAGGAAAACATTAATTTTATTTCAACAATGTTATGATGTATTTAACCTTCTAAAATCATTTGTTAGATTGTTGCATCTTGTTACTGTAACAAGATGCTGCTGTGACCTAACAGAGTCACAATTTTAATTTCCTTAAAGTCAAATCACAAATAATTATTTAAGGGTGAAACATCTGATTTAATTGTCCAAATCTTTTTATTTCTTTTATTCCAGTGACTTATCTCCAAGTTCAAAGCAAAGAATGAAAAGTAACCCTAGAGAACTTGCAAGCAGAAGATTCTTGCTATAAAATTGTCCCTTGGTGTTATGATTGATCCCAGAAATTTTCTATGAAGTCCATTCAATCCTGGGTAATCACACAGTCACTTTATGCCAACTTCCTTCTGCCTATCATAGCTTTTCATCAATTATTATATATAATTGGGGATTTAAGGAGACAGAAGATGAAGTCCTCCCCTTGACAGATTTTAATCTTGTTGAGGACATAATTGATAAATTTGTCTGTAATCAGGGATCTCACATAAGGACATTTAAGGATATCACCAACACACTAAAAATTTTCATCTGATTTATTAATCACAGTGTTTTTATATAGACGACTACCTCATACTTAGTGTAGTTTGATGTCCATAATTTGGTGTCCACACAGTGGTAAGTTTGCCAGAATAATCTATTTATTAGTACCTTTCCAGAAAAAGAAGTCATTTCAAATTGAGTTTTGATGGAATGTACTCAATAAATTTGCATTTTTCGTGGAGTTTTTGTATAGAAACAAATAGTGTATATTCTTTTGTTCAACAAATAATTCATTGAGTAGAAAGCACAAACTGTATACTGGACATTATGCCAAGTGCTGAGTATTAATCACAGGTCTCCCTCGTAAGCATGGATGTAATGTGGGCCTTGTCTGCTTTACAACCTGCAGTTCTGAAGGTCAGTTGCCCATAGCGATGATAACAATAGTCTCAAAACTTGAACTCAATTTCTTGAATGAAGGCAGTATCTTACTCAGTAACTCCCCTGTGGTTTCAGGGTGTCTTTGCAAATGATGTATACCACAGCATAGATAGAAAACTCAATATCTGGATCCCCATTAAGGGCTCTGATAAGAGCTCTTCAGAAATCCTAGATTGTTGGGGCTGATAGAAAAAAGCAGGAGACTAAATAGAATTGAAGAAATGAAAAAGATGTATTCTACAGAGGCAGGTGCTGTTTAAATAAGTAAGGCAGAACAAATGTGCTGGGGATGTTAGGTGTCTAGAATATTATAGAAGAAAGAGACTTCAAATGGTGAGAAACATATCAGGGTTTCAAGGTCTGGGTTGCTTGATTGTCCTCCACTTCTCTCTTAACCGTTGTATTAAGTGAAGAGCTCACCACAGAGAGGATTTATAATGTTGCTTCCATTCAGATAAACTATGGCTCAGGTAAACCATAACTTTTCTCAAGGAGCTTCACTGATATAACTCAACATCCACTGGCTATTTCTCAAACTACTATAACTTGGTGAATTGGTTGAATTATAAAGAAATTTCTAAGCCCTAACAAATGGCTTTCTAATTCTTATAAAGCCCTCAAAGTCACTCTTAAGAAAATGAAAGGATAAGTTTGATGTACACTAACATGCTGACATTTCTGATTTGGCTTATTTGTTAAACTTAGTCACTCTTCAGAATTAGGTGCTTAAAACCAGATAGGACTCTCTTAAAAAACTATTTCTTTTCAATATTACTAAGCTTTACATCACCATGTTTATTATATTCAAATACCCAAATACCCAACCTTATATCAGATTCATTACTTGGTTTTGACTATTATTTTAATTTTAATTAATTGGTATGCATTTTACTACTACTGCTTAAAATTTTTGAATAGGTAAAACATATATAAGAATAACATTATGTGTCTGTGTGTCTTTGTTCGAAAAACTATTTCTCTTTCAAATCCCTTTCCTAATCCTCCCAGTTTCCACTCTACAGCACTCCTTTCTTAAACTACACACAAATAAACAAAATTATTACATTTTTATTTCCTTCCAAATATTTTTTATATATACAAGTAATTTTCCTGGTAGGGTAGCAGACTCATCACTCTGCACTGAACATTGCTTTTTTTTTTTTGTCTCACTCCAAACATACATTTTAAAGACGTTTTTATTCTATCACCTAAAGGCTTCCTTGGCCTTCACCCATTATTTTAACTTTTTTAAAAAATGTCATTTATCATATTTAAATAAGCATTTTTGCAGATAGGAGCAGTAAGAAT